AAAGAAAGAAAGAAAGAAAGAAAGAAAGAAAGAAAGAAAGAAAGAAAGAAAGAAAGAAAGAAAGAAAGAAAGAAAGAAAGAAAGAAAGAAGACTGTTACTCCTACACTTCGCTTAAAGTGAGACGCTTGATAACCGACTTTTACTCTCAGCTTTAAGAATTTTTTTTACACTTAAGTCCACTCTTAGCAGCATTCTTAAGAGTAATTCTAAGAAGTTTGATAAATATGGGCCCACATGTTGAAAACAAAAAAAAGTAAAAGTTTTTTTTTGGGGGGGTGAAATAAGATCTTTTATGGAGAGGTACACTATATTGCCAAAAGTATTGCCTCATGTCTTGACTCATGTGAGCTAAGTGATATCCCGTTCCTAATCCATAGGGTTTAATATAACGTTGGTCCATCCTTTGCAGTTAGAACAGCTCCAGCTTTTCTGGAAGGCTGTCCACAAGGTTTAGTAGTTTGTTTATGGGGATTTTTGACCATTCTTCCAAAATCATTTGTGAGGTTACATACTGATGTTGGATAGAAGGCCTGGCTCTCATTCTCCACTCTAATTCATCCCAAATGTGTTCTATCAGGTTGAGGTGAGGACTCTGTGCAGGCCAGTCAAGTTCATCCACACCACTCCATGCCATCCATGTCTTTATGGATCTTGCTTTGGGTACTGGTGCACAGTCATTTGGATGGGTGAGCCAATACCATGTGGCAATAGGTTGTCTTATTCTTCTTAAATAGGATTCTGTTTATTCACCACTCCTGTCTTTTTTGCTGGATTTTCCTTTTTTTATGGATGGGATCATGTGTTCTAAAACCTGTACATACTTCTATACCTTTTGTCCACATCAAATGCACTAATGCAACCCTATACCATAAGAGAAGCCAGTTTTGAATTATGTGCTGATAACACGCCAAATGGTCCCTTCAGTTTTGCCTAAGGGACTTGACAGACCAATAAAAATATATATATTTACTACTCTAACAAATAAAATTGGAACAGCCCCTCAAAACAATTTCAGATCATCTAAGACTGTGTGGTCGAACTGAAACCCGAATCAACTAATTATTGTTCACACCTTAAGCGCTAAGATTCTCATCATTTTCCCCACTTGTAGTTGTTGAAATACTCAAAACTTTGCTGACACTAGAGTAATCCACAGCTGTACTTCTATCTTATAACTAAATACATTCTCTAAATACTAAAACTTTGGTCATATTAGTCTGCATCATTTCCTCAGTAATTGTGCCTAAAGAAAATAATAATAATAACAATTACAGATTTAAGTTGTGATAGTCTTTAAAAAAATCTCCTCTAAAAGTGGAGTATGTTTGAAGGGACTGAAAATGTGTAAACATTCTTTACAATATTCCTCAGAGCTTGGACTGTTGAAACGCCTGACAATCAATGTGAAAAAATCAGGAATGACGTATGACTCATGACATAATCATTTGAAAACACTTGTTGGGCAAGTTTGATAAGAATATTCCTAGACACAATAAGCAGTCTTGTGTTCACCACATGACTAGCAATTATATTTCTGTTTATTCCTGTAATTTTAATTATAAAAACTAATTAGTGGTGCAGTGGTATGGCAGCTTGGGAACAAAAAGTCACAGGTTCAATTCCCCACCATGTCTGTATGTCACGGTGCCGAGCATAGATTTCATCATTGTATAGGAACATACGTTTATGTAATTTACATTACACTGCAGCTGCAGTGGAGTGGTTGCATAACAGCCCCTCCCCTGTCAGTGTGTCCCAGGGCAGCTGTGGCTACAAGCTTACCACCACCAGTGTGTGAGTGTGTAAATGGGTGAAGTGTAATGCACTTTAAGATAAAGCCCTATATAAGTTCAAGCCACTTACCATTTCTTACTTATGACCCCTGTTTTTATTGTTTGTAGAAATGATGATGAAAAACCAAACCACCATTTTATTAAATTTAACTTTGGGGTCATCTGCACAAAAACAAGAAAAGACACATTAGTCCTAGCCTGGTTAAAACCAGACCTTCACTTTACTTCGTACAAGGAGCAGTGAAGGGAAACTAGAATTGAGCGGAGCTGCGTAGGAAGGCAAGGGCCAGGTTACATTAGTCCCATTGTTTTTAATATAACAAACTCCAGAGTAGAGCAAATCTTGAAACACAACTATGCGTCTTCATGTTACAGTGAGAACAACATTTTTTCAACTTAATAGCCTCACCTCCTATCTAACCCAACCCACTTTGTCTTGTGTTTATGTTTAATATGCTGTTGTTGTGAAAGTACACATATTAGCTTTTAATTAAGTCCTATTGGACGTTAATACATGAGCTGCTCGGGAGTATTTGTCTTTCTGAGTTGGAATTTCAACATTGGGAAGTGTTCTGGCTTATTTCTGACTTGGAACTTCAAAAATATGGCTTCAGAGGGCAAATAAAATGCAGCAATGATATCTGGAGATTAACAAAAATATTATGATTTGGTTGTAAAAATTCCTATTTGTAAGCTATGGCAATATAAAACCTACAGATTTGCCAACAGATGTTCAGTTTGTAATTTTACAGATAATGTTACTGATTTTGTGACGTTCAGAGACAAAAAAACTATAACAAAACTATATGCACTATTTCCTGCATTCTGGTGTATTTTAACAGGTTGTTGAACAGACTTTTACCTACATAGGAAAACACTTAATGTGAGTATTCTATAGGTCAAATGGAATAAATTTATTGCAAGTGAAACACTGAGTGAAGTCATATTTTATGGTAAATGTGGGGGGTTCAAATTAATTCAATTTTAAATGTGATGGGGAAACTTCCCTTCAAAAATGATTGCTGTGATGTGATGATATAAATAAATA